TGCGGTGGCCGGGAGCGGCCACTGCACTCCAGTCTGGGTGACAGAGTGAGACTCCAACTCAAAAAAAACAACAACAACAACAAAAATAAAATATTTGATCTAATCTTGGGGTGGCCTGGGGAGTGGACAGCTGGCCTCTGCAGGAAGGAAATGGTGGCCACACTGCATGGCCTGAAGGCAAAGAGCAATTAGTAGATTCCAGAAAGCTGGATCTGAGGAGAGTGCGAGACAGGCCTTGTCAAGGCTTTACCTGTGGTGGCATCCCAAGTTGGAGCCGGCACGGAGCTGGAAGTGGATGTTTACGGCACCAGGTGCACAGAGCCCCCGTGGACCCAGTGCTGTGGTGCCAGCCTGTGCGGCCTGGGCCCATCCCTCCCAATTCCTTGCACAGAAGCTCCTGTCCTGTGTGAGCCATGACACCTCCCGCAGAGGAGGAAGGGGCTAAATAGTTTGGTCTTCATTCCCTCTGACAGGCTCCCTTCTTCAGGCTGAGATTCTGTCTGGTCATTTCCTCAACAATGATGAGCTCTGCTCCGGTCACAGCAGATCCTGCCAGCAGAAGCCAGCTCAACCCAAAGCTCCCTACTGGGACCCACAAACCGTGAGTTCGGATGCTCAGAGCTTTGCAGCCCGGCTCAGGCCTGGGCAGAGCTGGCAGCATGTCCTCCGAAGCTGTGTGTGCAGAGTACTGGTGGAGGGAGTGAGCTCCCCATTCCTGGGGCATGCAAAAAGAGGTGGGATTGAAGCATTGGATAAGGTCAGACTAGATGCCTCTCACAGCTCCTCAAACCCTGAGACAGATTCTGGATGCTAGAAACCAAAGAGAAAGCCTCAGTGAGTTCCATGATGATGAGGGCGGCACTGCTGGTGCACCTGCTGTATACCCAAGGCGGATCCGACCATAATGGCCACTTTACAGAAGAGGGAGCTGGGGATCCAACAGTCAATGCAGAGAGTTGGGGCTCACAGCAGCCTCCTGAAGAGAACTGGGGGGAGGCCTGCCAGTGTCCCTGCAGGGCTCATGGCCTGGGCGAGAGTACGGAGGACCAGGAGGAGAGGTCAGCCCTGTCCACGGGGCTCTGCACTCAGCTCTGCCAGTAGGCCCTAGGTGGGTGTGTGGCCTAAGGAGTGTGGGGAGGGAGTTGGGCACTGGGCCTCCAGTCCATTTGCCATCTGCCCCCTCCAGGAAGCCCTCCATGATGGGCCGGGGCAGGAGGCATGGGCTCTGGACAGACTTGGGTCCTAGTCCACATGCCATCACTACTTGTTTGTGTGCCATCTGAAACAGGTCACCCAGCCTCTCTGCCACCAAAGAGATGACACCAGCCTGTATGGTAGTCATGAGACAGCAGTCAGCATAGGGCCGGCCAGAGTCAATGCATACCAAGTGTCCATCCAGGCCAGCCCCACCTGTCCCCTTCCTCCTCCGCTGTAGGTTCAAGTATTGCTAGTGGCACTGTAGAGGTGAGTAAGCCCCCAGCCACAGAATTTCCTGAAGGCTGACACACGTCAGCTTTCAGCGGTGCCATGGAGACTGGAAAAGCCTAGACCCTCAGGCACAGTGCCAGGTAGTGAAGAGGCATGTTTGGGCTTTCCTGACCGCCTCGGGTCACCCCACGAAGGTGGTTCTGTCTCCAAGGGCAGCTCACCCGGTTGGACCTGCTGGCCGGAGGTTTGGAGCATCATGAGAGTTGAGGTTCAACTTCCTGCAAATACTGGTACCCAGGGGGTCCCCAGCCCCTTGGCCTGCCCCTGAGGCAGCAGATGCCCTTGGCTGACACCTGAGTTCTTTAGAGCTGCTGCTTTGGACGTCTCACCTCAGGACTTTTGCATGTGCCATTCCTGATGCCTGGAGGGTTCTTTTTCCAGTGTGTGTCCTCACCTCAAATCCCAGACATTTTCCCCCAAACATCCTTTATGTCTGTCCACTTCTCACACTTTATGCCTCTGTCCAGGGCCCAGCCCCATAGCTGCCCACCGGGATCAACTCTGTAGGGGCCTCCACGCCCTAGGGGCCCATCACTGTGGGAGATCCTGCTTCCTCCCAGCAGCCAGAGGGAACCTGTCACTTTTCTGCTGAACTCCATCCATTTCTCAAGATCCTGAGCCCCTCACCAGGCCTGCATGTCACAAGAGACTCAAGATCCTTCGCAGCTCTCCTGGACTGGCCCGCTGTGGCTTGGGCATGGCTGCTCTGGAAGGCTTCTTGCTCACCCTACTGCCTCACCTCACTGACACCGGCCCACTCCCCAGATCTGACCTCAGAACTCACTTCGCCAGTGAGAACAGCTCCCTGAGGACTGAGGACACTGATCAATGCAGCAGCAACAAAATGAAACATCCTGCAGTGACCCATCCTGAAGGGTAGCACACCCCCAAAGGCAGGGCATGAGAACTGTGTTCATCACTGAGTCCTGTGCCTGGTTCACAGAAGGACTTCATCCATGAAGGACACTGTTGGATGGATGGATGGATGGATGGATGGATGGATGGATGGATGGATGGATCAATGAGTGATACAAGTGACGGGTGGATGGATAGATAGATGGGTGGAAGGATGGATGAATGATGGATGAATGGGTGGAAGGGGAGGGACATCTGGGTGGAGGGCACAGCAAGCATAGATGCGGAGGTGATCTGAGATCTGAGGAAGTCGCTGGAGTCCAGATGGAAGGGCGGAGGCCACGGTAGGCCAAGCTCAGGGAGAGGAAGAGGCCTGGGATCCTGGATCATGGGCTGAGACTTCCTCCCAAGGACAGCAAGGGCCATGTGGGTGTCCTGACCTCATCTGAATTTGGCAGGGAGTGGTGGGGCATGTAGGGGTGAAGCCCAGTGGTGAGGGCAAGTAGCTGGGCCAGTGGTGGACTCAGGGCTGAGGTGGGGAGCCTGGCAGGGAGGGGCACCCCAGGCTGGCTGACAGGGGAGCCCAGCTTCCTCCTGCTGCTGCCTGAACGAACACACAGCTGAGGCTGAGCAAGTGAAACCTAGCAATAAGGCCTGACGAGACGGGGCTGGGACTGACAGGGATGGGAGGTGCCCCAGGGGCCAGTGAGGCCGCCAGGGTTGAGCCCTCTGGTACCTCTAGACCACTGCCTGGACCAGGTCAAGGGTCCTGCAGAAGACACTGGCAAAGCTGAGGGCTCCAAGGTCTCTCTGGCCCAGACCCTCAGGACTGCATTCCTGGGCTGCGGGACCCAGTCTGCCAGGCACTTGGGATGGGGAGGGCTCAGGACAGCCTGGCCTGGTGGTCTCGGTACTATCATCCACCCAACCTCCACATGGAAAGTGGAGGAAACCTGCTCAGGGAGGGGAGGGGCTTGGGGCTGGGGAGAGAGGAGCTCAGGGCGACAACCCAGCCTGCATCTTGCACCTAGGACCCAAGGCTGCAGGCCCTGGTTCCCAGCTCTACCCAGGGACTCCTGTGCTGGGGAGCGAGGCCCTGGGAGGAGAGGGCCAGGCCTTCCGCAGGGTCAGGAATGTGGCCCACAAGCCTACCTTGGCCATATGAGCAGAGCAACCTTGGGTGCTGGCACTTTGGGTCCAGTCAGGCCCCAGCCTTGCAGCCCTGGGAGAGGGTACCTTGGGGTGTCAGGGGAGGGTTGGCACTTGGACACTGTGCTGTGCAGTGCCCTGAGCTTGACTGAGGACTCAGGAGCCAGGAGGATGGTGAGCAGCCTGAGACTGAAGAGGGGTGGGGCTGGAACAGGCATAGACCCCTCCCTAGAAAGCCCCGAGCCCCCAGGACCTTTGGGGAGCCCATTCTAGGAGGCCTTTACCGGTCTTCAGGGCCAATGGAGAGACTCTGAGGAGAATGCTGGCCGAGGCTGAAAGACTGAGGGCCTCTAGGCACCCCTGGAATGATCACCCCAGAGCCCATAAGCTTAGGAGTTCTCGACCTGCCCAGCCAGGAGGCCTGAGTCCTGGGGGCTGTGTGGCCCAGTGCCAGCTGCAGAACCAGGTCAAAACAGAAAGTGGTAGCATTGGTGCTGGGAGTTGCAGAGGAGGTCTCCCCTGCCCCCAGCTCCTGATCCCACACTCCTGGTCATCTGCATGCTGCCTCCCCAGATGATCTCACCCTCGCAGGGCCGGCCGTCACTCCCTCACATGGCAGCCATGGGGACACTGTGTGTCCTGTGTGTCCTGGGTGCGGCACGAGGCCGTTCATTAGGAACTCTTTGTGGAACGATAGTGTCCTCTGCCTGGCAATTGTGGGATGACCAAAGACAATGTGACAACGCGTCACCACCCTCATGCTGGATGACATTGGGCTGGACCCCCCGAGGCAGGAGGCAGCAGAGGGAGTGGCCTGGGTGCGCTGGGGCAGGGGAGTGAGGGCGGGTGGCACGGGATGCCAAGCCTCCTGGGGCGAAGCTGTGGCTACAGCCAGGCGAGCTGCTGACCCTCTAAGTCCCTTTCCAGGAAGTCCAGACAGAGGCGCCCATCTCAGCACTGAGGTTTCCATGAGAGGAAGTGCTCTCAGGAACGGCCCTTCACCTGCTGGGCCCTCCCAGGTCCTCCCGAGTCCCAAGCCTGCTCCTTCCCACACGGACAGATAGGCCTGGAGGGGCTGCTGGGGTCAGGATGCCTTTATTGTGGAGTGGGGATGTGAAGAGGCATCGGGGCAGGGGGGCTCAGCGGCCACACGGCGGCATGTCCCGGGCCCCCAAGGCAGCAGGTTCCAAGGCACTGGAGTGGCCCCCACCAGGCGCGAGCCCCAAGATGCAGCCGGGTCCCACTGTGTCCCGTGCGGCCAGTCCAGGAGGCCAGCCGGGACTTCTCTGAGGCTGCTGCGGCCCAGTCAGCTTCTGTGGGGCCTGGAGGCTTTCTGCCGGTAGATCTCAGTGGTGAAGGGCCTGCGGGTAGCGGTGAGGCTTTGGTGAGCGGGATGTGGGTTGACACTCCCCCATGGCACCCTGCCCCCGCCACAGTGAGGGTGCCTAGACTTGGCGTCTTTGGAGAACGGCGGGAAGCGGGGGAGGGAAGGAAGGGGAAAGGTGCCTGGCCAGGCCTTGCAGGCCCTAGGCATGCCCACTCTAAGCGACTGCTGCTACCGTGACATGGGACACAGCAGTGGCTGGCAGAGCCAGGCCCGGGCCTGCCTGGCCACAGGGAAAAGCCCTAAAGGGAGAGGCCAGGCCCGTTAGGCAGCTACACTCCCGCCCGCAACAGCTCCACTCACTCCTCGTACAGGACAGCGACCACGTAGATGAAGGCCACCAGCACCGTCAGCAGCAGGCCCGTGGGGCTGGCATGCCTGCAGAGACAGACTCGAGTCAGGGGCCTGGCTGGACCCAGGGCATCTCTCAGAGCCACTGCCCATCTGCCTGGCGCCGGCTCCCTTGCTGTGACCATGAGCCTCCAGCCAATGCTGGGGCCGCTTGTGCCGACTGGGATGAGCCGAGTGGTGTCTTGTCCTGAGTCCGGCTTTCCTGTGAAGACCAGGTCCTGTGGTTCGGATCCTGACCCATTTGCCATCTTGCCATCTCCCTGTCCCTCCTGGCTGGGTGTCTCCAGGGCCACCCCCTCCTTCCCGCTCACTTTCTCCTGATCCCCAGCCCCCAGCTCAGGATGCAGCAGGAGTGAGTCAGAATAGTCCCAGGGGCTGAGGCTGTTCTTTCCTGCTCAGGAGGACGTTCTGGGGCAGAAAGTACTCCCCTGCCCCTCAGGGACGACGCTCTCAGGAAAGAAGACTGTTTTCCAGAAATGGGTCCAGGGACCCCAGGGCCAGTCTGGGCCCACCCTGAATCGTTGGCCCTGTCCTGAGAGGCTCTGGCCATGAGGGAGGGGTCAGGAGCTACTGCCCCTGCTCTCCCCCAGCACAGCAGCCTCACACCCCGCGAACTCCCAGTAGCCCAGCCCAGAGGACCAGAAGCCCCAGGCAGAGTGTGCGGTAGGCCAGGGCTGGACAAAGCACGGGCCCTGCTGACCAGCTTGTGATCCTGCCACGCCAATGAACACGGGCAGCTCGTCAGTGATGGTACCGCCGAGAAGCCTGAGCGCCTGTGCCGTAGGTTTCCAGAAACAGCTGCTGTCAAGTCATCTCCCACTTTATTTCTGTAGTCACCTCTGACCCCACCAGCTCAGGCAAGGGCTGAGCTAAGCGCCCAGATTGGCTGGGAGGGAGTGGGGCAGCCAGCTTGGGCATGCATCCTGGGGCGACGGTGCATGGCAGGCCTGTGGGGTGCCCCGGCACTGCCCCTGCACTACACTGCCCCTTTCCCAGATGGCCACGGGAGCCCCAGGCTGGGCGGGGTCAGTGAGGGGCTCGAAGGCCTTTCTTTCCTGCCCACTCCCTTCCACCCAAGGACCTCACACTGGCCACTCCCCTCTGCTGCCTGCCACCAGTGCCGGGCTCACCGCCACGTGGGCCCACCAGGCCTTCCACACAGCCGGGGGCTCAGGCCCTGGGAAGGCCCATCCGTGGGGAGGTGGGAGACAGGTGGGCCTTGGAGGGCCCCTGCTGGGTCAGCAACGGGCAGGGTAATGGCTCATCTCTAATAAGCTCTCAGACCAAGGGTGCCATCCCCCACACCCCACCTGGTTAATGCCCTCCAGAGGTGGCTTGCACATTTCTGAGAGTCCTGGCTTGGTAGTTCTGAGCCTGGGGGCGACTCTCACTCCTGGACCCCAGGCACTGATGGGGACACAGAGGGGACCCATGTGTGGGCTCTGCCTTCAGAGAGATGGACAACTAAACCACTGAGAAGGTACCCAGGGGTTCAGCCAAGGCTTCCTGGAGGAGGGGACACATCAAATTGGGTTTGGAAGGACCAAGGAGAGGCAGAAGTAGGAGAATTCTAGGCAGAGGGGCAGCATGTATGCATGCTCTGTGTGTGTGCGCACATACGTGTGTGTGCTGGCACAGAGGTGTGTGGGGAGCCCTGAGGCTGCAGGAGGACCCGGCTGAGGGAGGTTTCAGTTTCAGTGTGGGCTCACCCTTTGGGAGTGAGTAGAGTCGGGGGCACATAGGCTGCCCGTCATGAGCCTACTGCTAGAGTCCAGGCTGAGCTCACAGGGCTGGTGATTACCTGGTCTGGATGTGGGGCAGGGAGAGCGGGCCCCAGCCAGACCCCCAAGCCCCTTCTACTTCCAGCCCCTTGAACCCCAGCCAGGGGTGAGGGGCCAGGAGGGACCACCCAGCTCCTGACATTCCACCATTTGACAGTCATTCCTTTGGGCTCCTCCTCCTTCTGGCCTCTAGAGCACCTGCAACATTCTAGGCAAGTGACTTCCTTTTTTTTTTTTTTTTTTTTGAGTTGGAG